AGGGAATGAACATGCCGCCCCCCGTTGAACTATCGGTTCAATAGAGGAGATGTGTGGACGTGTGTGTTGGTGTGTTGGATTTGTGTTTGGTGGTGAGTGGTGTTGTCATCGTCGATTGGTAGTGGCGTCACACTCCGAGTGTTCCTGGTTATTATTCCGTTCGTTGTCTTGATGGTCACAGCTCTGATGATTCCGTCGGCGCCTGGATGAGTTTCGGTGATTCTGCCCATCTTCCATTGTAGCACTGGTGTGTTGTCTTCCCTTATGACGACAAGTGTATCCTTCTGCAACTTTGGTTCTCCCTTAGTCCACTTGGTCCGTATGTTCAATCCGTGTAGATATTCCTTGTGCCATCGGACCCAAAAATTGCGGCGGATCGCTTGAATGTGTTGCCATCTGCTTAGGCGGTTGATCGGTGTGTTCCTGAGATCATGCTCAGGAAGATCAGTCATTGGTTGTCCGATTAGAAAATGCCCTGGTGTGAGCGGTGATAGATCACTTGGGTCTGTTGACAGGGGGGTGAGTGGGCGCGAGTTCAATATAGCTTCTACCTGAACAACTAGGGTATTAAGCTCCTCAAATGTGAACAATGTCTCGCCAATCGAGCGCTTCAAATGGTGTTTCATGGCCTTCACTGATGCCTCCCAGAGTCCTCCAAAATTCGGAGATCGGGGGGGGATCATTTTCCATGTGATGCCTTCGGAGGCTGCGAAGTCGGATGTTCGTGTGTTGTGGGTCGGCGAGTTTAGTAGGGCGTATAGTTCTGACAGTTGATTTTTTGCCCCGATGAAGTTAGATCCATTGTCCGATGTTATTTCTCTGCGCCTCCCCCTTCGGGCGATGAATCGTCGGAAGGCGGCGATGAATCCGTCGGTGGTCAAATCGCTGACCACCTCTAGATGCACTGCCTTCACAGCTAGGCAAACGAAGACTGCCACGTACGTCTTGACTGATTTGCGGTTCCGGAACTTTTTCTCCTTGATCAGGAAGGGGCCGCAGTAGTCGACCCCGACGGTCTCAAAGGGGCGCGATTGCATCACTCGTGCCGCTGGCAGCTGCCCCATGATGCACTCGCTCACCGGTGGATTGGCGCGAAAACAGCGGATGCACTTCCGCAGGACGAAACGTATTTGATTCCTGCCGTCCAGGGGCCAATATTTCTGTCTAATGCAATGAAGCGTGGCCAATGTTCCTGCATGGAAGTTTCTTGTATGATATTGACTGATTATTAGCGATGTAACATGATGTGTCTTCGGGATGATGATTTGATGTCTTCTGTTGTATGGCAAGTTGGATCGATGTAGACGACCTCCAGTGGCTGTGTTGCACCAATCTTATTATCCGATCGTGTGCTCCTTCCAATTCTTCTGTGCTGAGAGGTCCGCGATGTAGCTTCGGTTTTTTGAATCGCATGCAGTAGGCGATGGTCCTGACAAGTTTGTTGAAACATGAGAAGCGGTTCCAGATTAGTTCCGGTTGCGTGTCGGTCATCAGGCAGAGGTGTTTTTTTACTTCTGGCAGTTGTGACGGTATGCTTAATGGTTGTACTGGCCATTGTGAATCTGGCCGTACCAGCCAGTCGGGTCCGTGGTTCCAGATGTTGGTTTGTAGAAACCTTTGAGGGAGCAAGCCTCTGGATAAGAGGTCGGCAGGATTATGATCGGTGGGCACGTGTCTCCAGTTACTTGCAGTTGTTCTTTGTTGTATGTTTGATACACGATTTGCGACGAATGTCTTCAATAGCTTGGGTTCGGTGTTGATCCAGTGTAGTGTGATTGTTGAATCTGTCCAGAATATTGTTTGGCTTGCGTTGATCTTCGTGCCTTGCACTACGCTGTAGTATAGATTCGCTAACAGTCCTGCCCCGCATAGTTCCAACCGGGGTAGGGACACTGTCTTGAGGGGGGCGACTCGAGATTTCGCACAGAGGAGATGGCATTGGACTTGATTTTTATGCGTTGACCTCAAATATAGGCAAGCACCGTAGGCCTTCTCGCTTGCGTCGCAGAACCCGTGTATCTGTATGTCGTCTGCTTCCCTTAGTGTAGAATGCCGAGGATAGGTGAGTTCGTTTAGTAGCCGAAGTTGCGTGCAGTACTCTCGCCAGGTGGTGTGGATGTGTGCCGGGACGGATTCGTCCCAGTCCAAGTTCAATTGCCAAAGAGATTGCATTAGGAGTTTGGCTACGACTATCACGGGTCCAAGTAGTCCCAATGGGTCGTATATTTTTGCAATCTGGGCGAGCATGGTCCGTTTGCTGATCTTATGGTCCACGTCGATCGGATTGACCGAGTAATTAATGGTGTCGGTGGTCGAAGTCCAAAACAGGCCCAGTGTTTTGAATGTCGAATCTTGCTCGGACAGATTGATTTTTATGGTCCCCTCGGGCAGTCCCCGTAGTATGGATTCATCGTTAGATGCCCATTGCCGGATGTGTATCCCGCCGACCTCCAAAAGTTGTGTTAATTCTTCCCTCAGTCGGATGGCTTCTTGTTTCGTCTGAGCGCCCGTGATCAAGTCATCTACATAGAAATCCCGCTGGACGATTCTTGATGCTATGGGGAAGCGATCGGCTTCATCCATGGCTAATTGCTTCAGACACCGTGTTGCCAGGTACGGAGCCGCTGAGACGCCGAACGTGACGGTGTTCAGTTGGTAGGTTTGTATCTTCCCCTGGTTGTCTCGCCAGACGACTCGTTGATATCTTCGGTCTTCTGGGCGTATCCAGAATTGCCGATACATCTTCTCGATATCGCCCGTGATTACGTACGGGTGAAGGCGGAATCGTAGCAACAATGTCTGCATGTCGTCTTGAATTGTCGGGCCTGTCATCAGCGTGTCGTTCAGTGATGTCCCGGAACTGGACTTTGCAGACGCGTCAAAGACGACACGAATCTTTGTCGTCTGACTGCTGGCCTTGATGACAGCGTGGTGGGGCAGGTAGAATCCCGGCTGGGTGTCGTGAGAGAGCGTCATATGTCCGAGTCTGACATACTCTTCCATTATTGACTCGTATTGGGTCTTTAGTTCCGGGTCCTTGGCTAGTCTTGTTTCCAAGTTGTGGAACCCTTTCAAGGCGATCTGCTTGGAGTCGCCGAGATTTTTTATGGTGTTCTTAAAGGGAAGAGCAACTGTATATCGACCATCCGAAGACCGTGTCGTGTTGCGTTGGAAGTGGTCTTCGGCTGCCTGTTCCTCGACAGTCAGGTGTTGCTCGTTGCTGCCCTCTTCGATCTTCCAGAATTTGTCTAATTCAATCTGTAAATTGAATGTCTCGAAGGGTTGGGATCGTTGTTTGACGCCACTCGGAACGCTCCCGCCGATGACCCAGCCTAACTGTGTTTTTTGCAGGATGAGGTCGGTCTTTGGGCCCGACGGTAGCTTGATTTGTCCGACACTTAGCAATGATAAGGTTGGGCCTGATCCGAGGAGCATGTCTATCGTGGCTGCCTTGTGGAATTCCGGATCAGCCAGCTTGATGTTCCGAGGTACGGTGACGTGCTCGCGGTTGATGGTGTTGGTTGGTGTGAATGTTGAGATTGAATTCGTGATAAAGAAGTCGAGTGTTTTAGTAAGATTGTTGTGGGTTGATTGGATTCGAGCTTGTGTGTAGTAATTGCAGGTTGTGTGTAATGAATTCAGGGCTCTGACCGGAACGGGACAGTACCGTTTGCGCAACTGCAGTTTATTTGCCAGTTCGCTCGTGATAAAATTGGCCGTAGATGCAGTGTCAAGGAGAGCTCGGCATAGGGTGTGAGTCCCATCCTTGGCGAACACCCTGATCTTGGCTGTAGTCATCAATTCCTCAGTTCCTGAGCTTGCAGTTGTTGAAGATAGTGAAGGCGGCAGCGTCGTTCCGGTAACTGTGAGTCAACTTTCTTCATGGCCGGGCTGTGTCTGATCGCGGTGCAAGAGCGAGTGGTGTCTCCCGTCACAGATGCGACAAGAGATCGACCTGCACTGTATCGTTGTGTGTCCCTTGCGCAAACAATTTTTGCAGAGACGAGCCTCTCGAACAAGCTCTTCTCTTTCGGGTACGGTTTTGCTCGTAAGTTTCTCGCATTCGTAAACTCGATGCGTGTTGCTGCTGCAAATGGGACACAAGATTGCGTTTGTTGATGTTGCGAAGGTTTGGACCCTTTTCACTGGAGGCTTGCTCGCACTAATGGGTTCAGGCCTCGTTTTTGTGCCGACTGCTGGTTTCAGGTGCTTCTCTCCGGCCTCTAGATATCTCGCCTTCTCCAGGAGGAAGCTCAGCAAGGTGTCCAAGGTCGGGATGTTGTCAGCTGATCCCAATTTTTGCTCAAACTCCATCCGGGTGTCGCGATCTATTTTGGGCATCAGCATGATGATCACCACAGTGTCCCATTGGTCCACTGGTTGTTTTAGCGTCTCTAGGGCTTTGAGATGTTGCCGCACGCAATTTGTGAACCGACGGATGGAGGTTGCGGAATTTCTTTCTATGGCGGGTGTGTTTAATAATAACTCGCCGTGACGCCATACGACGAAACGGGTGTTACCGTAGTTCTGGTTTAGTAGTTCCCAGGCCAGCGCGTAGTTTTCTCCTGACAGATCTAGCGAACTCAGAACGTCGAGTGCTTCGTCCGTTAGTGCCGAACGTAGGTAGTGCAGCTTTTGCGTCGCTGATAACGTCGCTTGACTGTCGATGAGTGCGAGGAATTGCGATTTGAATGAGAGCCATTTCTCTAACTTCCCGTTGAAGGTGGGTAAGTCCAGCTTGGGTAGTTTTAATCTGCTATCCGTTGTATCCGTCGAGTTTGTGGGAGAAGGGCCCGCCGGTGTTACATTGCTGCTTGGGTTGAGGGCCCTATTTGCTGATGCGACTAGGTCGTCGTACAGCTCCTCAATTGTTTCTCGTTCGGTGCATTGATTTGCGTCACTCATTTCGATGGCAACATGGATGGTTTGAAATTGGGCGAATCCTTGTTCCATTCGTTTCAGCTTTGCCTTTAGTTTTTCGAGATCAGGCTTCGTGTGGTAAGTCGTTAAATAATTGTTGAATTGTGTCAACTGTCCCTTGAAGATGGCTCGTTGCTTGATGAGTGTTCGTAGATCTTCTCCGCTCGTGGTTGCCATTGTCTGCTTGTTAGTATGAACCGCGTTGCACGCACTCACTATACTGCACTGCACTGATCGATTTGAATTTATGCCGAATTATCCGGCTCGAAGGACCAATATGTTTCGTCTGAATCTTCTTATCGACCGTATGAAGAATTCAGGCGAAGGCTTACGTCCGTTCTAAGAACGTAAACTAATTTTGAAGGTTTAAATATAATTTAATTTCAATATATCTACAGCAATTTACAATATGTCTTAGCGATGTGCGTTTTCCCGTGGTGTCGTTTGTGTCGTTTCGATGTTTGTACTAGCCTGTCTTCTTGGTGTCGTGTATTTTTATATGTTCGTCTGTCGCTGTCATTGGCTGTCAAGATGTCTAAGTGGTGGGTGTGTTTTTTCTCCTATTGGCGGCGTGTTCGTTGGAGGGATGTGCGGGAGGCTCGGAACTGGTAGGTGGAAGTGGAAGTTTAAACAAATTGTTAATTTGTTTAGGTTTGGGAAATTTTAATTCTTTTATGGGGGTTGCTCGGAGGTCGGGGTGTCCGCGAATCGTGGGACGATGGTTATAAACGAGTAAACCATCGTCCCTTCGATTCGGGTCCCTTGTTCTTGAGGGTATGTATGGAAATAGGGATAAGGTAGAGGTCTGGGTTTTTCCTGATGGAGGTAGAGGTTCGAAGGATGTTAGTTAAATGTCTAATTGAAGGATTCGCGTTTTATGGAGGATCGTAACGGTCTGTGAATTGGGAATGAGTGTAGGGAA